CTTTGGGTTCCATGGTAACTACCCATTAGTTCTTGATTAGTTCCTCTTCGTTTACAAGGTAACTAACCAGTAGTCCCCTAATAAGGCTTGGCTGTGTGTTCCCCAGTAAGTACTGGTTAACTACCCATTCATTCCTCTTTGGGTTCCATGGTAACTGCCCATGAGTTCTTGATTAGTTCCTCTTCGTTTACAAGGTAACTAACCAGTAGTCTCCTAATAAGACTTGGCTGTGTGTTCCCCATTAAGTACTGGGTAACTACCCATTAGCTCCTGATTCACTCCATTTGGTTTCCATAGTAACTACCCTTTAGCTCCTGATTTGTTCCTGATTCCTTCCTGAGGTGTTTCCTAGTACATTAGTTCCTAGTACATTCCTGGTACATATTGTTGTTGCTGTTGCTGCTGTTACACTTGAATTTCCCATCCGTGGGACAATAAAGGCTGTTTCTATTCTATTCTATTCTATTCTATTCTATTCTATTCTATTCTATTCTATTCTATTCTATTTTGTGTACCTTATTGTAAAGTGTTACCATTTTTCCTTCGCCTCATTTTTCCAACACTAACGTTTCTTCTTGTTTCAGGGACACGGAGGTTCCTGTTTGTCTCATGGGAAACAAGCAGGACTTGTGCCACGTCCGACAGGTGCGCGAGGAGGAAGGCCGCTGCCTGGCTCAGGAGAACCGATGCCACTTCCAGGAAGTTTCAGCGGCTGAGAGCTACCAGGACATCGCCAACCTCTTCACGCAGCTCATCCGCCAGGTGATGGAGCACCTGAAGTACCGAGCCGACAGACGGCGCTACAGCGGCTCCAAGTCCATGGCCAAACTCATCAACAACATGTTTGGCAAGCGAAGGAAGTCAGTGTGATGTTCCCAGTGGACGTCAGCGGGGGCGACTGACTTGGTGCATGTTGTACGAACTCATGAGAACTGTTGACTGCAAAGAAAGTGACTCCTTGTTCATGTGGATGGTTGGTCATAAGCTGTTTGTCTGTAGACCTTAAGTAAAAAAACAAAACAAAACAAAAAACAAGCAAGCATGGCAACTTATTTTCAACGACCTAACCAGTTAACAATAATTAATTAATAACCAGCCCTGTAGTATCCATGACAGAAAAGCTTCAAAAATTATACTTGCTGATTAAAATATTTATTTTCACAACATATTTATCAAAAAGCTGTTTAATTCAAACTTTGCTTATTTTTGTTGGGCCTTTTTCACTCTGTATAACTCCACTACAATATTTCAAAATCTGCCAGTACCTGGACGGTCTTTGCAGGGTCCAGTGGGCTTGCCTTAATGTATGCTTTTTTTTTTCCATTCAACCTTTATTTATACAGGTTAGTCTCATTGAGCCCCGAGGACTCATTTACAAAGAGACCTGTTTTAAACAAAGAACACAGATGAGGTACAGACAACAACAGACAATCATAAAAGCATATAAAAACGAGAAGTAAATATAATAAATTATATAAAACAACTCGAGTGCCATCCAGCGGCTGAAAATGGTAGCGTTCAAAATTTTCAATGTCAGAATGAATGAAAATGCTCATATTTCAGCCAAAAATTGGTTTAAAATATGGGTAAAAAAACATAAATATGTTACTTTGGCGTATAAGTCGCAGGGCATGCAAATTATGCAAAAAAAAACAAAACGTGACTTAAAGGCAGAACAATACAATACATTATTAAGTGGTGCAAAATACTAAAAACAGAAACGTCTGCGTTGATTTTTGCCATGAACTTAACAGTTGTTTAAAATCCCTTAGAGAGGTCAAAGTCATCAACTTCAGGTCTTTTTGCAAGGTGTTCCAGGAAACGGGAGCCAAGTAGGAGAAGGCCCTTTTGCCAAGTTTGCTCCGCACTGAGGGGACGCTGCAGGTAATGATGTCCTGAAAGCACACGCTGTAGCTGCACTGACCAAGTGACATACAGGAGGAGATGTATGAAGGCAACAGACCAAGAAGTGATTCAAAAATGAAAATGTACCAGTGAGAGAGTCTGCGTGAAGTTCATGATGTCCAGTTAACCAATGAATACAGAGTGCAATGATTAGAATGATGAATGAATGAATGAAATTGCGCAATAAGTTTGGAGGCTTTTGAGCAGGCACAAAACTTCATTAAAAGAGATTTTTAATCATGGTGGCACCGTATTATGGAATTGGATGAAGCATTGTGGTAAAGATAGCTGCTCTTTCATGACGTGGAGCTTACATGCACTAACGTAGCTTGGTCATTAAGAATTAAAACAGGACAGGCCATGCCAGTCTAATGCCTAGGCTTTGATTGTGACTGTGGCACAGTCATAAAAACAATATAGGCAAACCTGATACCTGTGATGGTAATGTTGTGCTTGCATGATATGATCTACTAGCACGTAGCTACAAATAAACTTGGTCCATGCCTTAGTGAAACAAGGCAGGGTGCAATTGTGTATACGTGGTAGATAAGAATGGGCTGCTGATCTGTAATGTGCAGCCCGGGCATGGGTGAGCATCTTGGGGTGGCAAAAAAAAACAACCAAAAAAGCTGTTTGTTGAGCAGTAAGAGAATAGTAGAGTCTTGATTTTTTCCACTCAGAAGGATTTTTTTTCCAAATTCACAATGATCCAGCCACCAATGGATCATGAGTATAGCCGGTTCCATCCAGTATGACGACCTTGTCCACACAAAAACACATTCTCCAATCATATCTTTTTACTTGTCATTTCTAAAAATATATTCGTACACACCACTGTTTTCGTCCAAATGAAAACATCAAAAATTACCATAAACACTGTAGTAAGACTCGTCTGTGATTCTGCAACGCTGACACAGTTCACACCAAAAACAGGAAACAAGGCTTTGAGAGACACAAATGCAAGCAAGTAATCTGCAATCATTTTCTGACTTGTTTGTAGGTTAAGATAGCGTTGGGGCTTTAAAATTATTATTTTTAAAAGGGGGTGTTTTTGGCCGTCCTCGTGAAAATGCAAGAGTGGTGTTTCAGAACCCGTTTTCACACGTTGTGTTACAAAACGTCTGTTCAGTGCCCTGAGATGAATTCTGATGTGACTTGGCGCTATATGTAAATAAACTTGAAAACACAGTTTTCATGTGGACAGCCCCTTAAAACTTCAATTTGATCTGCTCTTGGCTGAACTGGGCTGTTTAAATCAGACAATTTGAATTGTTGCGCAGGTGAAGCACAAATGGAAAAGGAATTTGGTCTACAAAAGGTTCTCACATATAATGGTAAATGTGATTTAAACAATCAAAATTACAAGGTAAACACAATAAAAATAAACAAGTAAACAGAAATAAATAGCAAATTAAGGACTGCCAGCTTTTAGTACTTTAGATGTTTTGAAGCAAACTTGAAATACCTGCATTAAACTGTTTGTTGCTGTAGTTTTCATTTACTTTAAAGCCTAAAATAAACCTGTTTTTCACTTTTCAGACCAAATGACTGATAACTGTTGATTAACTAGTGACAGACAAATGTTTAAGAGAACTCTTTTATTCCCTCAGCCTCTTCATCATCCGTGCATGTTACTGAGTTCTGGCCAACACTGCAGCACGCTGAGTGAAAAACAGATAAAAAACTATGATGCATGATTCCAGAGTTACCTCATTGTGCAGGCTTATCTTCAGCCTGTTGTTGGGTCAGGTTTCTATGCAAACCTCAACACAGTGTTATATACGTACAGGGTGTGCTTTAAGGCCAGAGCCGGGAACCCTTAAACAACAGGCCACAGTCTGTGAGGATCCACAACTTCTCATCCTTCACCATACTACTCAGCACTGGCACACCTCAGGGCTGTGCGTTGAGCCACCTCTTGTTCACTTTGCTCACATATGACTGTGCACCTACCCATCCAGGTTGTCATATTGTAAAGTTTCCAGACCACACAGCAGTGGTTGGATGCATCACAAACAATGATGAGTCCAGCTACAGGCAAGAGATGGAACACCTGGACAGCTGTTGTAGTAAGAACAACCTTCAAATCAATGTGAAAAAGATGAGATGATTGTGGATTTCAGAGGGAGCAAACACACCTCCACCCCCCCCCCCCCCCCCACACACACACACACACACTGCACATAGGAAGGTCTGTGGTGGAAGTGGTCTCCAGCTACAAATACAACAACAACAACCTCTGCCTGATCAAGAAAGATCATCAGAGACTCTATTTCCTCAGGCGGCTGAGACGAGCTGGACTGGGAAGCTCAGTCCTCACCTCCTTCTACAGGCGTGCAGTGGAGAGCATCCTGTGCTCCAGCATCAACATGTGGCATGGAGGCTGCACAGCTGCAGAAAGAAAAGTTTTGCAGAGAGTGGTGAAGGCTGCACAGAAGATGTTGGAGTCAGTCTCTCCACTATCACAGACATTTACACTTCCAGATGCAGGAAGAGGGCCACCTGCTTCATGAAGGACCCCACTCACCCAGCACACACTTTTTGCTCCGCTCCCCTCAGGAAGGAGGTTGAGGAGCATTAAGTGTAGAACCACTAGACTGAGGAACAGCTTCTACCCTGAGGCTGTTAGACTCATGAATCTCTAACCAGGATAACCACTGTACTAACACTTTATATGTGCTGCTGATTATCCATGCTGCTGATTTCTCACCTTAAGCTCCTATATTCATACCATCTGCTCACAACAGATTCATTGTTCAGGCTGCTGTTTAATACACCGTATGATATTATTATTGTTTAGCGTATATCGTAGATCCTTGAATACTGTTTCTTCTTATACTTTATACTTTTGCTATTTTTGGGTGTAACTGGGACCTGGAGTGCACAATTTTGTTCCACCTCATGTACCACATGTGATGCTAATGACAATAAAGAACCTTGAACCTGTCTGCACAAGTTTTCTACTAATGGGGCTTTGTCTCAATTTTTATTTTTATTTTTTTGATGAATCTAAACTGACAGGTGGAAATTTTTGTTTTTGTTTTGTTTTGTTTTGTCCCATCATCCTTCAGAAACAGTAGCAGGAGAGCCATTGGATGTACTGACGGGGAGAAACAGCTGGTTTTTATGCTATATGCTCATGAGTTATTAAAGATTATCTAACAGACTCAAAACAAACAAACAAAACATCCTAGTAATGATAATCTTAGAAGCCTGTAGTTTGCGTTCCTTTATTGCAGTGCTGTTGACCGTCCCATTTTTAATTATTCTATCTATATTATCAAAGTGCAATTAAAGTCTAACAACTTTTGTCAGTCTTAATAAAATATGTGATGAACCACTGGACATAAAACTTTCAGAACGTAGTCATTAGTTGAACATCTGCATTGAATTACGTTGGTGTTGGAGCTCCTGCACTAAGTGACAGACACCATCTAAATTCCTTCAGCAACTTTCTTGTTATTGTCTCTATTTCTTTCATAGGAGTAATAAAATGAATAACAAATAAAACTGAAAAAAAAATATAATGTTTCCTGTTTGTTTTGGGTGGGGTTTGGGGGGACTACACAGATGCTTGGAGCTAAACTTTAGTTTTATGGTCATGGGAGGAGGCAAACCTTCTGAGACGAGGCTTTTCCTGTGTGTTTGTGCTAAAATCGAGGAGTGGAGTTTAAAAATGTGACAAATTCACCTGGAATAAAAAAAAAAAAGTAGCTTCAGTGTTTTCTCACTAGAGGGCAGAAGAGAATTTTAAACATCTTGATAAGGCCGATTAAGCTCTAATGAGCTCGTCCTGCTCATGATGCTTGATTTAATAACAGCTAAATTGACCTTTTCCAAGCAGACATTTTGACTTTCTACAAATAAACAAAGGTATGTCAAAAAATTGCTTTGAAAAATAAAAGATGTTCAAGTTGACTCTGACCGTGAGCTGGTTCACTACAGTGACATTCTGGGACATTTAAAAAATCTGAGCCAAAACTTTTCAAAGCTCGGAAAGAAAAACTGATTTATTGGTCAGTCATATTCAGGCGTGTGAGGAATTGGACTTTTATAGTACTCTGAAAGAGTTACAAGCTTTAGCAGGTGAAATGAGGGAGACTGTGTATTGAACAACTGTTGCCCTG